CAAAGACATGGCCTGGGACAAAATTAACACAAAAACAATGTTGCATAAGATTAAAACATACTTCATTTTTTATATATTTTGATTAAATATACACAAGCAAGAAAGATGACAAGAAAATACACCAAAATGCTAACTATGGTTCTCTTTTAGTAGTGGGATTTCATTAATTTTTACTTTCTAACTTTTCTAAAAATTTGGAAAATGACAAAAATAAGCATATTTGTTTTCATAATTATAAAAAGTTTAAAGATAGGTTATTTAACTTAGGACAATAATAATAGTTTCATTGAGAATAAATTGAACCCATAAAAAATCTGGAATTCGTGGATGAGATTTCTAATTGGCTCACCTTTCAGTACTTTTATTCTTGGACCAGAGGTCGGTGACATTATATTAATGAAAGAGCTTCCACTGGATGCATGGGGGAAGATGAATGACTCTTGGAGCAAGGATGCTGGCAGATAGTACCTCAAGCATCCACTGTAGATGCTCTGGCCTTCCCAGCGGGCATCAAATTAAGAGATTGCTCCTGTTGGCCTTGGAACAACCAACCCTCTATGGTCTGTATGGAGTCACGATGGAGCATTCATCTATGGTGCTCAAGCACAGAAATGGGTTTCTTCATAGTGTCCATGGAGCACCACTCCTACCTGGGAAGGCGGAATGCAGGGCTCATACACAGCCAGGAGGTCCCACATCAATGCCTAACTGACCCATCCTGGCATACCCACCTTCCTCCAGGAGTCCATGAAATACTACATTGGGACACATTGACACATTTCTGTCTAGGTGTAGAATTCCTTCACTTGAGGGAGGAATGTCCCACTCCTCAAAACACATACCACGTGTACATACACTACAACCCATACGAAGGCCCTGCCTTCCTTATACTATAACTTTTGGTCACCTAGTGGTTCACCTGCTCATCTCTCATTCCCCCCCAGGCCCTGTCAGTTGCCAAACCTCCTAGATCACCAACTTCGTCTCCTCCATCTTACATTGCATTTTTACCTCTAGGCAGTTTGATACTGTATCTCCATATAAAAGACCCTTATCTCTCTGTTGTTAGCTAATTATAACAAGTTGGTAATTATTTACATCTAATATGCATCCTCTATATAAAGCTGATTGTGCATTATTGATAAAATTCCACAAATCATGTGCCCTATTTTTACAAATGCCATAGAGTTTCCATTGGCAATCTCAAATGATCATAGGAGGTAGACCAGTAGTGAAAAATTTCCCATTCATTGTATTTCTTTCATTTTTAAAAAACTTTAAAGGAATTACTTGGATATCTTAGTTTTTTTTTAGGTAAAAATTGTGACCCAGTGGTTCTCGAGCATGCACTTTTTCTTCTGCATATAGAGCAGATTTTCCAATTCCATCTAATAAGAGCTACAGCTTAAAACAATAGCCTACACTTATCTGCTTGAGCCACTAGGTGGTGCACACATATGTCAGGGAACTGTAGGTTAAATGGGCTTGTGACCAGACATAATTCATCACCACAGAACAAGTGGCACAGACAGGAGGAGGAGAAGCTGTGGGAGTCAAGAAGAGTCAGTCAGCCATCCTGCTGATGGAGGGAGTCAAAGAAGGTCTCCCAGAGGAGGCAGACAGGCAGTACTGCCAGCTGCAGAGACAGTGAAAGCAAAATCGTAAAGGCAAGACCCCCCAAAGGCCCGGCCGAAAGTCCTGGCGAGGAAGGAGCATGCTTACTTTCCATGCTCATTAATTCCTGCCTAACAGGAGTAGTGGAGTCATTTGATTTAGAAATCAAACATTTCTCCAGGCCTTGGTGCTGGCACAAGAGACATTCAGATGAAAGGACATAGTCTTGTCTTTGAGTAAGGACCTTGTGAGAAACAGAAGGAAGCAGTCTATTAAGATAGAGCATGCTACAAAAGGTATGTTTTAAAAGATGCATTGGAAGAACAAAGCGAAATACTCATTCTGCTCTGAGGAAGGGAGAGAAGAGGGTTGGGTTTGGTGTGCAGAGATGGCCTCCTGGAGGTCTTGAGAAGTAAGAGGGACTGCCACAAAGATCATGAGAGATTAAGCTGGGCTGGGAGCCAGCCTGAGCCAAGGCTTGGGGGTTTGAGCGGATAAAGTGGATTTCAGGAACGGCTTAGTTGAGTTTAAGTAAATGTTTACCCAGGGCTCCCCTATGGACTGTAAAATAGATGTTCCAGAGTTTTAAGAGGCCCCGCGACTAGTGAGGAAGACACGTATGAAAATTGCAATGCAAAAGAAAGCTTAAAATGTGGCCCCTTTTAAAAGTCTGACTGTTCTCCGAGCCCCTCATGTCCTGGCTACAGGGATTCTCAGGGAATCTCTGCACCAGAAGAGGGAGCCCACAAGCACAGTGTCTGGTTGCCTTTGGAGTCAGGGAAGGTATCCTTGTCTCCCTCACTCTTCTCAAAGTTGGAGGCCAGAGGCATAGAGTAAGTTATCCAGAGCCACACAGAGGTATGTCCAGGTATGTCTGCCTCCTGCAAGGTGTTCTTCCATTTTCCCCTGCTGGATCCTGGACACAGAGTCACCCTTCAGAGATAACTCTTAATTAGGAAATAGACACTTTTCAGATAAATAGATCTTCATCGCCAACAACAGTCATAAAGTCAAGCTGTGGAAAAATAGAAGGACATGTTGTGTGCTTTCCACGTGCATGAGGAAAGTGCCTGGCCACACAGCTGGCCTCAGCAAAGGCAGCTTATACTGCTGGCCTAATTCTGTTTGGAGAGGAAGCGTTCTGGCTCTGGCATTCTTTCTAGCCCATGGGTGTGTTTATTTCAGCATGAAGATATATGCTCACAATCTGGGCCAATGGCACCTTGGAATTGCTTTGTTTGCTTGGAAATGTCAACTGGAAGGAGTTATAAGCTGGCGGGAAATAGGGATGTGCAATTGAGAAGGCCACGCAAGGACACAGACCTGCATTTAGGCTGAGAAGTTACAGAAGCAGGGATGGGTCGGTCTTAAAAAAGTTCTGACTAGGACAGATCAAGGTTAAATGGAGGAGGAGAGCCGAAACCGGTTTGGCTCAGTAGATAAAGCATTGGCCTGTGGACTGAAAGGTCCTGGGTTCGATTCCGGTCAAGGGCATGTGCCTTGGTTGCAGGCACATCCCCATTGGGGGTTGTGCAGGAGGCAGCTGATTGATGCTTCTCTCTCATTGATGTTTCTAGGTTTCTATCCCTCTCTCTTCCTCTCTGTAAAATCTCAATAAAATATATTTTTTTAAAAATAAATTAAAAAAATAAATGGAGGAGGAGGGAGGCCAGGTCTTGTGAGGAAAGGACAAAGGAATTGTGAATAATTAACCTGCAGAGAAGAAACACATGTCTTCTTCTTTATCTGTCTATTATAAATTGTTGTCATGGGATGAGGCAGCTGGAAAGTAATGATGTTATAAGAAAGTAGGTTTCAACTCAGTTTAAAGTAGAGCTATCTGACTGGAAAGTAAGGAGTTCCCCATCAAGAAAAGAGATGAAACAGAAGCAGTTTGTACAACTACTGGGGACATTATAGAGGGGATTTCTGTCCTGATAACAGGTCAGATTCAATGACCTTTGATGTCTAAGCCTCCATAATTCTATGAAAATGGAAGAGGTAGCTTATATAAACCAAGGGTCCCTAATATAAGCCATCTAATAATAATAGCATCAAAAATATATCTTTTTTTTGAGCACCTATGGAATGCCTGGCATCATCATAATCATTTATGTGCATTGTCATATTTTGGCCTTTCAAGCCAGGATTAGACTGACTGAATTCTAATTCTGGCCCTTCCCTTTAATGAAGATGTGGTCTTAGACAGATTGTTTCTTCTCTCTGAATCTCATTTCCCTCCTCTGTACAATACCAATTCTATAGGATTGCTAAGAGTATAAAAGGAAAGGACTTAGCAAATTGTCTGGTTCTGTGCCTGACTTATAGTTGGGACCCATAAACTGCAGCTTATGTAGAATTCCAGGATGCCATTCTTGGAGAGAGATGAAATAAAGAGGGAAATGCAGGAAATGTGAAATAAGGCAAAGAATGGTGAAATACCGGGTAATCAGAAGAAGTTTTGCAATGGGTAGCCTCTGGCAATGGTTCTCAAAGTGGGGCTTTTTGGGGCCCCTTTTAAGAAAAAAATGCAGATTTTTAGTTCTATTTATGTAAAATCAAATGTAGGAAAAGAAAGAGGTCAACTGGGACTTAAGTCTTTAAGAGAGCTGCTCACCATTGCCCCATGCCTGACCACATTACCCACTTTTCCATCCTCATCCTCAGGGTCCTGTGACATCCAATCCAGAACAGAGTTTCCCCATAAGTTTGCTGTGATAGGGACAACTCTTCCAAAATGTTAGTCACGTCAACCCTTGGGGTACCCTGGCTAGTTGCCTCCGAACCTATGTAGTCTCATCCATCTGACTTAGTGTGTTCAACAAATATTATTTTCTTTGAATGTTGTATGGTACCAAGAGAAGAGGATTTATTTAGAGAAGGAATCGTTTGTTTTCTTTTTTTGTTTCATTTTGTTTTAAGTATATTTTATTGATTTTTTTTTACAGAGAGGACGGGAAAGGGATAGAGAGCTAGAAACATCCATGAGAGAGAAAGGAATGGCCATAGCATTGCTGAGCAAATTCCAGAAGTAAAGCAGCCCAGGAATATCTTGGTTAGAAAGGCATAGCAGGAGACTAACAGTGATGTAAGGACCCAAGACAGAGACAATCTCCAGGATGTCACCACTTACCCAGCATAGCAGGTGTGAGCACAGGCAAATGAGCCCGTGGCTTTTCCCTGAGCACAATACAGATTTGACCGCAAGACCTCAAAGACCCACTTAGCTCTGACCATCCAAGGACAAGCAGAAAGCCGCCCGTTCCCTTTGTCTCTGCAGAATCACGAGTGAACACCAATTTATCTCAATGTACCCTGTTGACCTGCTAAGCACAAGTCAGTCTCTGGCTCAAATCAGTGCTCTCACAGTGTGTTTTCTTTTGCAGCAACAGCGGCAGCTTGATCTCCTAACAATAACCAACCCCGGTGAGTAGATGTGGCCATTGTGCTTTGGCTTTTCCCTTATCTCCCAGAGTGATGTCCGATTGTCTATCCAAATGCAGCTCCTGCCTGCCTCCTCTGTTTCCCCAAGTGGACTGCAAAATTCTTTCGTGCTGTGAACACCCCTTCTCTGCCACCCTCTGTCCCACAGGCTGCGCCTCTTCTCCCTCCCAGCTCTTGCTGCCTCCTTTTGACTCTGCTGATGGCCGGGCTGATGGTTGGATGTGGCTGCATATTCCAGGGTCAGGTTTTCAAATCACTCGATGAACTCAAGTGTTAAGGAAGTGTCCAGGCCTCCTGAGAAATAAGTTGTGAAGTCATGGGGACGGGGATCTGCCTGGTAGTGGCATTGGATGGAAGAAAGATGGCTCATGAAGGATTACTCTAGGAAAGAGACCAGCTTTGGTCTGTGCTGAGGGTCAGGATGACTCTTCTCGCACCTTCATAAGGAAAGATCGAATTCTCCAATAAAGCTGTGGCCATGGCATTGAAAGGCCCTTTCTTTCCCCTAAGCCTGGCAGATAGCCCAGAGAGAGATGGAGCTATTTCGTTTTTGCCAGAAAGGGATTATAGTTTAGTTTGAGAGGCAACTGGCCAACAAGAGATGCTGTTCTCTCTTGGGATCCAAGGAGGTGATGGTGCCAGCAGGGTGAAGGAGCATTCAAGAGTAGCTGAGGTGATTCATCTTCATTCATTTGTGATAATCTAATTATTTAACAGCCTGGCGACCCCCCCTACTGTGTTAGGCTTTACACTTGGTTTACTGGTCTGTGGGGAGATGGGGTCCTGAGAGAGGGGCCGGCGTTGCAGAGTGGTTGGTTGTATAGCAGGGTCAGCGGGCTCTGGGTGGCTAATTACCAATAAATATGGAGAGATGTCAGTATTTTAGTAATCAGTAGATCTGTTCCATGGCATCCCTGCCTTCCATCAAGCCTGTTATGCTGTATCCCGGGGCCAGTTGGCTCTCCTCCAAGGAGACTGAGCAAGTGCCGTCTGCAGGCTCTCTCTCAGCATGAAGGCTCTTCTTCCTCTAGTCTCTGTAACTGACATTTAAGACGGTGACAGCAAATGTAAGCTGGGTCCACCCAGTTCAGGGACCTCGCTGTATTTCCACCAGAGAGAGCTTTTTGAACTTGGGACTTTAGGACAAAGATGAATGCGTTTGGATAATGTTTAATCTATCCATAGAATGAGCTATGTTTAACATCTATACCAGTATGATTACATAGTTAGACATTGGAAATCATAAGCTAATATAACTAGAGTGGCTCAGTCAATAGTGTGACCTACCAGTTTCTCCCACTGAGCTGCTGGTGAGGGACTACCTTTGTTCCATCCTGTTTGGTTCTCTCTGTCTTGTCCTACTTCACATATGCCAACCCAGGTCACCTGCTTTCACCTCCTTATTAAGCCACATCCTGTTGTGGTGCCAACGTATAAACTGTAGAGCATTGTGGACCTGTCTGCAGTTGCTTTACAAGGAAAGTTTCAGGCCCTTTTAACTGCCATTCTTTTGCGCTAGCTCCAGCTCTTCCCAGCTGCTAGTGTACAGATTCAAGCAATAGCATGACTACCAGTGCACTGCTTACGGGCAGCTATGGACCTACAAAATGCTAAGTGCTACTGATTTAGATCAGTCTATAATTTTCTCCACCTTTAGATGAGAAAAGATGTGTGTCATGGCACACTAGTCTACTGTAAGTAGGTTATACTTGTGTGATGTGGGATATATACCTGGACACATTGCTCCAGTCAGCTCTCTTATAGGCACCAGTAGAACCTGAGGCAGCTAAAGCCCCAGAGTGGCAGGTAGGCTTACTCCAGCATGCCAGACAAATAGCGCCTGTATGCACCATGACTCAGAAAGGTTAGGAAGCATCTTGTATTAATATTATATGGACAACTCTACTTCAGGAGAGAAACACTTCCCTCTGCTGTTATTAGCTATCTGCTCCCCAACCAAAAGCTGTAGCAGCCAGCAGTGGCCTCCTACCTCTGGGGCTGCAGTGGGAGGTCCTGGCTTGTCTACACTCCCCCTAATCCCTCCTCAACACAGAACTGCAGCCTGTGCTGCCATTCCTCATAGACCGAGTCCTTGAAACGCTGGTGGGAAATTTGGAATCTATGTTATCTTTTTTATACTCTTATTTTCTCTATTGTGAACGATTTCATACACTCAGGAAAGAGTAGAGAGATATTTACTGCCCCTCTCCTCCAATACCTTGGCTTTATCATATCAACATTGTGCCTTTTATGCCAATGGGCCTCCTATTTTTTAAAGTGTGTAAATCTGGTTGAGACTTTTCTATATGAATACCTGACCCCATCTCTCTCCCTTACCCTACAGGTAACCACTCTAATGAGTTCAGTGTTTCTTCATACTTATGTATCCAATTATATAACTGGTGTTCTTTTACAGATTCCTACAAATGGTGTCACATTATAAACTTATTCTGTGAATTTTCCTCTACTCTTTATTATATTATAGAGACTCATTCATATAGATACATATAGCTCTGCTTCATTCATTTTAACTGCTATATGGTATTCTATAAATGATTAGATCACAATTTACTTATCATTTTATTGATCATAATTTGAATATTTCTGGTTATTTTGCAAGTGCAAGCAATGCTATTAAGCATTTTTGTGCATCTCCATTTGTGCATAAGTATGAGAATTTATCTAGGTCATATAGCTAGGAGAGGAATTGAGTCTATGCATTTCCAAATCTATATTATAAAAGGCCTGTGGCCGTAACGCCATAACAAAAACAACTGGACTCACAGGAGGTGCATTGATGGGTCTTGTGGTGTGGCAGGTCGGGGTCCCAGGGCAGCATGGTGGAGTCTGGGATCCTGCCCCCATGGTGGTACAGTGGGTCTAGGGTCTCAATTCCATGCACTGGGCCTCTAGTGTGTGTGTGTGTGTGTGTGTGTGTGTGTGTGTGTGTGTGTGTATGTGTATAAAAGCCTAAGTGACCAAATGACCGAACAGTTGACCAGTTGCTATGATGCACACTGACCACCAGGAGGCAGATGTTCAACACATGAGCTAGGAGCTTTCCCCTGAAGGTCAGTGCACTCCCACAGAAAATCTCCCATAGCCCCTCCCCCTGGCCGGCACCCTCCCTCTCTACCTCCCCGTAATTGGCCCAAATTGCCAGTCAGGCTGAGAGACCCTACCCATGCACTAATTCATGCACCGGGCCTCTAGTTTACTACATAAAAGCCAACTGTTTTCTAAAATAGTTCAACAAAGTTACACTTCCAACAGCAAAGTATAAGTTTCCTTTTCCCTGACTCCCAAACATGGGATTATGGGACTTATACATTTTTACTAGCCATCATAAAAAATGTGAAATGGTACCCCATTGCTTTTATAATATGTGTTTTCCTGATCACTGGTGGGGTTGAGTATCTTTTCATACATTTATTGGCCATGTTGGTTTATTCTTCTGTGAAATGGCTTTTCATAATTTTTATTGTTTCTTTAGTTTTTATTTATTTGTAGTTCCTTATTATTCTGAACAACAATACTATTTTGTCATTTATATGCATTTCCAATATCCTCTCCTAGACTGTGCCTTGTATTTTTCACTTGATTTATGATACAGTTTGATATATGGGAGGTTTTTAATTTAATATAGCAAAATGTATCAATCTCTTGCTTTATGAGCCTTCTTTTGTGGCTTATTTAAGAAATACTTCCCTCCCTGGAAGCATGTATTCTCCTGTATTTACTTCTAAGAACTGTCAAGTTTTGTGTCACAATGAGTCACCTGAGCACTTTTATTTAGTCTCTATTATTCCATTAGATAGGGGAGAAAGCAAGCTTTCGGCTGCTACTGCCAAATCCTACATCCAGATCTTAGCAAGCTAGTGGCCTCGGGATTTTTCATCCTTTCACACTTCTGTGCATTTACTAGTAGCTTAATGCAGATATCTCTCTCACAATGGAGCCCAACTATATATTTCATTTCTTTTTATATATTATTCAATATTACTAATTGATGGAAATGAATCAACTTATTTAAGCAAGAGCTTATATAGCCATTTGACCCAGAAGTTAAGCTATAGTTTCTTCCTTACTTTTTGGAAATTTTATTCTCTTTATAACCTAATCAAGGAAGAGGGACAGTATGAGGAAGTATTATTTTCTGTCCAAGTAAACCCTAACACCAGATTGAGAAGAGAAACTATTATTTTCTGCACACGTATATACAAATATATATGTAATTTTCAAAATAAAGTTAAAACGATACTATATAAACTGGGTGTTGTTTTTTTTTGGAATATAGTGTGAACATTTTTCAATGTCATCAATATTCTTGAAGAGAGAATTTTTTTTATTGTTGACAGTATTACAGATGTCTTCCATCTCCCCTCCCTCTTTACCCCTCTATAACCAGCCCTTATCCACCCTAACCCCAGGTCTTTACCACCCCATTGCCATGTCCCTGGGCTATGTATATAAACATGTAAATTTTTTTATTTATCTCTCCTCCTACCCCCACCTCCATATGGAGATATGCCAGTCTGTTCTATGCCTCCATGCTATGAAAATAAAGGTACCTATAGTCTTTGTGATTGGTGTTTCAGGGTTTTTAGAATATATTCCTAGAAGTGGGATCCCTGAGTCAAATGACAGTTCTATTTTTAATTTTTTTGAGGACACTCTGCATTGTTTTCCTCAAAGTGGCTGCATCATTGCGGAGAAAAAGGAAGCCTCGTGCACTGCTGGTGAGAATGCAGACTGGTGCAACCACTGTGGAGAACAGTGTGGAGTTTCCTCAAAAAACTGAAAATGGAACTCCCATTTGACCCAGTAATCCCACTCCTAGTAATATATCCCAAGAAACTAGAAACACCAATCAGAAAGGATATATGCACCCTTATGTTCATAGCAGCACAATCTACAAAAGCCAGAATTTGGAAACAGCCTAGGTGCCCCGTCAGCAGATGATTGGAACAAAAAACTATGGT